TATATATATATATATATACACACGCTCGCTCGCTCACACTCACTCACTCACTCACACACACTCACTCACTCACTCACACACACACACTCACTCACACACTCTCTCTCTCTCTCTCTATCTCTATCTCTCTATCTCTATCTCTCTATCTCTGTTTCTGTCACTGTCTCTGTCTCTGTCTCGATCTCTATCGCGATCTCGATCGCCATCTCGATCGCCATCTCGATCTCGATCGCCATCTCGATCTCGATCGCCATCGCCATCTCCATCTCTCTATATCTCTCTCCATCTCTCTATATCTCTCTCCATCTCTCTATATCTCTCTCCATCTCTCTATATCTATATCTCTATCTATCTCACACACACACACACACACACACACACGGTCTCTTGTTTAACTTCTGGACATAAATGTAGCTTCACTATGCACACGTTTTGTTGAACTCTCATTTTGGAGTGGTGTTAGTGGTAGAAGTAGATCTGGGGGTGAATTGCTATTTTGTTGGCAATACAGAGGAATCAAATCTGCAGTTTATTTGCTCGTGCAAAGAAGGTCTCTGGAACAAAAGTGTCTAGATTCTACATCTAATGCTGCTAATCACACTTTTTTTTTTTTTTTTTTTTTTTTTTTTTTTTTTTTTTTTTTTTTTTTTGAGGGGTTCCGAAACTCAAGAAAACTTTTGATTGTTGGCAGTTGATTTTGTCCCCCGTATGTCACATACAGTTTCTGTTGTTGTTGTTTTTTTGACTTAATAAATCAAATGAAATAAATCGAATTTTCTGCACTTTGTGATTGCAATTCAAGAGCTGTTTGGAGTATGTTGGATGCTAAGGAAGTTAAAATTTGTATATTATTTCATATTTCTTTGTTCGTTTCTTACATTCGTACTTTTGTTACATGTTTACTAATTAATCTTTTTAAAATTATTTAATACCCATTTGATTATCCACATTTTATTCATGTTGCGAGGAATGTATTTTCATTCTCAATGTATTAATGTATTTTCTTTCAAGCAATCCGCAAACCTTAATTGAAATTAGCCCGTTTAGATTTTCTCTCTTAAAAATACAATTTAAATGTAATATGAAAGAAAAATTTTTAGCCTTCAGGAAATATTGGATTGTATGTGACAATGGCATACTGCCCCTCGAGACGGCAGCTGTAGCTCAGTAAATTCAGTCTCATTGTTGGGACATGATTTAGCTGTATGAAACACATTTATAATTGTCGAATATGTGTTGAAAATATTTATTTTCAGCTCCTAATGTTGAACGATTCGTAATGATTTTTACAAAAAATTATGACGTGTTAATTTGTAGGGAAATTGAGGTATAAATAGTATTACGTAACCATTGCTAGGGGTGAGAAAGTAGTATCTGCCATTTTAGCACCATTAGTTTTGTATCAGGGACCACAAAACTAATTTTTCTCTCTAAAAATTGGCAAATCACTAAATTACCAATATTTACATTGAAATCAACTTCTAAAAAAGTTCAAATTAACTCCAGGGGTTAATATTGATTGTATTGGAAATGACTGCTATGAATCATTGATATTTTTATGTTTTCTTCTACCTGATAAGCAATACCTTTCCTGCTCTAATGATATTTCTGCCACCCTCAGGCGATTCTGCTCTAAGCCATATGTTACATTTTATACTCTCAATTTACATTTTATGCACTCCCATTTCTTCAGTTTTGTCTGCACTTTCCACCCTTGGAAGCTGAAAAAGCATTTGCAATTTGTGCAATTTTTGGCTCTCTTTTCTAGTTTAATACCTACTTTACTTACGTACATATATGTCCCAGGTAAAGCCTTTTTACACAATATTTACATCCCTGTTTCTGTTTATAATTTTTGTATAGTCATAAAAGGACCACTTTATATTGTGTTTGGATTTCTACTTACATTTGGTACATAGAGTTACATTAGCAACAACACTCACAGTTTGAAAAAATAATCACCAAATCAGTTTATAATATAATTTACCTTTATATCTTTGTTATTCATCTGATGTTAACTTGGCATAGATGTTGGTGTTTTGATAATGAAATCTATCAATAAATATCTTTTTTATTTGATGTTGATGTTTTCAGGCTGAAGCATGTAAGAGCATTGAACAAGCTTTAAAAAAATGTCCTAATGGGATGTTTTCAGAGATAAAATACGATGGGGAGAGAGTACAAGTACATAAAAGTGGAAGTGAGTTCAAGTATTTTTCACGCAGCCTCAAGCCAGTCATGCCACATAAGGTATTACTGTAGAAACTCAAGTGTACATTATTTTCATTGTTTGCACTATTAAAAAACATTTTTTTAAATTTAATAACAGGTCAAAGAATTTAAGGACTACATTCCTGAAGCATTCCCTGGAGGAGAAGATCTAATTTTGGACAGTGAAATATTAATGATTGATACAAAAACAGGGCAACCACTACCATTTGGCACCCTTGGCATTCATAAGGTATTTTTAAGACAAACGAAATGTGTATTTTATGTACCATAAACTCGAGTGAATAGGGTCAGCAGTGTAGGAAAAAGTCTGTCCCTCACTGACATGACATTAAATAATGAGTTTTTTATGCCATCTGATGAATAAAATTAGTATGAGATTGTATTTCTCGACAGTTGTATGTATTATTTTTGGAATCATTTCAGTGGTTGAGAAATCTCTGAGGTTTCTTTTAATTACAGAAAGGAGAATATAAGGATGCCTGCGTATGCCTTTTTGTTTTTGATTGCATTTACTACAATGGAAAATCTCTCTTACATTTGTAAGTATTCTAAGGTCTTAACTAATTTACATTGTATATCTTATTTGTAATATTTCCTATGTTATTTCTATTATTTATAAACATTAATTTACGTTTCTGTATCTTTTAACATTTTTTGATATGAATTTCTTTTTATTATTATGATAATTATTATTATTAATAATAATAATAATAATAATAATAATAATAATAATAATAATAATAATAATAATAATAATATTTGTTCATGAAATTTGTGTTCCAGACCAATAAAGAAAAGAAGGAAAATTCTCCTTGAAAATATGACAGAAATTAAAAATCGTGTTGTGTTTTCAGAGGCACAAGAAGTTAATGTAAGTAAGATTTTTGCATAGATATTGAATTGAAATTGTGTTAAATACCATTTCATATTGAAAAGAATACCTTTTCATGAAACATATCAATTTTGAATTTTTTGGAATAATATTCAGAATTCTGTGTTTGTGATTCTAGTGATAAATATTTAATGGTACAATGAGACCACATAATTTAGATGGTTCTCTTATTAGAAAATAAATTTCTGAACTTGCATAGATACACATAATGAAAATAAAATATCACTGATGCACAAGAAGAGTAAGCAGATCTAAAAAATTATCATTTGGCTGGAAAACAGTTTACTTAACTGACAAATAATGATTGTCTTAAACTATCTTGCCTATTTTGTGAACCATGTGTATTGACTTCTTATATTTCTGTCATTTGTTCCAATGGTGCTTATAGTGTGTCATAAAAATATAATTGATAGTGACTAATCCATTTTTTTTTTTTTTTTTTAGAAAGTAACTATTGATATACAATATGCTACTGAACAAATAATTCAAAACCAAAAATCTTGATTTAGCCAGTTTCTAAATGGTGCTTTTGAAATGTTTAATGCCAAAAGAGGATATTTTCTAAATATTAACTCAAAAAAGATTATTAGAGGTATCACTTTTCCTGTACACTGCCAATATGTACAATGTACTTCATGAAATTGTTGAAATTGTTTGAATGTATTCTCATTAAATTTTTGAGTATCCTTTAAACAACAATAAAAAATGTGTTGGTTCTTACAATTTTTCTCTCTTTGTAGAGTGCCAAAGACTTGGAAAATATGATGACAAAAGTTTTCCAAATGGGCCTGGAAGGTCTAGTTTTGAAAGATTTTGAGGTATTAGGCATGAATATTTGATTTATTTCAATATACTGTTTGACCTGTTGATGAACTCTTGTAATGTGTAACAATTTTCAGAGTCAATATGAACCTGGTAAGCGTCATTGGTTAAAAGTTAAAAAAGACTATCTTTTTGGTGGAGCTATGGCTGATACGGCAGATCTTGTTGTTTTGGGAGCTTGGTTTGGGACGGGCCAAAAAGGCAAGTTAATTTTATTCTTAGTATTTATATTCTTAGCTTTTTTTTCATTGTCTGTGAATTTTTCAGGTGGTATGATGTCTGTTTTTCTTATGGGTTGCTGGGACCCTGCTCATAAGGTTTGGTGCACTGTGACAAAAGTTCATACAGGCCATGATGATAAGACGTTGGAACAATTGCAGGTATTAATGAAATTAATTTTTCTTTCTTTTTGTTGGTCTGTTTTCTGGTTTTGATATAGAGAAATTAATCCCACTACATTTGATTCGTAATAATATATTTTCAATTTTATTTCTTTTACTTTACACCATTGGTCTTATATATTATGACATTCGTTGTATTAAGTGATCTGTGTTTTGTTTTCAGGGTGAACTGGAGATGGAAAAGATTAGTAAGGAAGTCAATAGAGTACCATCATGGTTGAAATGTACAAAGACAATGGTTCCAGATTTTGTAGCCAAAAATCCAAAGGTTAGCAAATAAAAACATCGGCAATGTCCGAAACAAAGGTATCTGTTTACTTTTTCATTGACTTCAATTTCATGAGTAACTTTATTATTTTATTTAGAATATGCCAGTATGGGAAATTACTGGTGCAGAATTCACTCAACATGAAGTTCACACTGCTGCTGGTATATCTATTAGATTTCCAAGAGTTACTCGAATTCGAAGTGACAAATCTTGGGACACAGCAACATCATTGCCTGAATTAAAGGTATTTTTCAGTACATACATTTATTCATCTTATTAGGATAACATCCTTCATTTGATTTCTTTTGATACTTTCATATATTGTTCATATTATATTATTGATAATATTGTTCATTTGATGCTTTATTTGGTATAAAAGAAGGACATTTTTTGGTATCATTGTTCTTTCAGTTTGCAATTTTTAAAAGGATGTTAAAAATTTTGGTTTGAATGACAGTCGTATGATAGACCCCCCCCATGTAAAACCTTCAGTTTTTTATCTATACTATTGTTAATATTAATGTATAACATCATTTTAACTTCTAGGTTATTAGTTGTAACTTCCATTTAATTCATATTACAGATTTAGGAATATTACAAATAATGATACAAAGAGGAAGAAAAATATTATTGAGAAACATTCATAATAAAAAACAGTACAAAAAACAATTAATATAAGCATTTGCCTCTAAATGTTATTTTAAAGGCATTTAATTGATTTCTTTAGCAAAATCAATAATTTTCCTTTAGTGTTTGTTAGTATTTAGGATGTTTTCATTTGTTTTTCTATGGGATGTAAAACTTCAATTTACAATCTTATGTTTTTCTCTATAGGAATTATTCAAAAAATCCAAAGATAGTTCAGATTTCTGTCTGCCTTCTCATTTCTTGGCAGATGATGATCGTTCAGAATCTGAGGTAATGTAACCATGAACTTGGTACTACCTTTTTATAGTTCGTGCATTTAAAATTATATCTAACCTTTTAAATTATTTTCAGTCACCAAAGAAGAAAGAAAGTCGCAAGATAAAAAGAAAAGATGATAATGATGAGGATGATGACGATGATGAAACATGCCATGATAATCAGCAAAATATTTCACAAAAAAGGAAAACTGAAAGAGAATGTTCTCCAAAACATAAATCTAGAAGAGATGATTCACCCAAACAGACCCAAAGTAGAGATCACTCACCTAAAAGAAAGCACAGTAAAGATGACTCGGTGAAATCCTCTAGTAGAGATCACTCGCCAAAGAGGAAATTGAAGAAGGATGATTCTCAGAAACAAAAATCTTCAAGAGATTCATCGACTTCTAGAGAGAGGGTAGATTCTCCTAAACGGAAAAAAAATAGTTCACCAAGTTCTGAGATTGATGCAAATTCGGAAGAGAGTGAAAATTCCAGAGTAGGAAAGGAAAAGCAATTAAAACGTTCAGAAGAGTTAAGGAATTCTAAGAAAAAAAATGAAGCTTTGCTTCAGGATGAAGAAATTGAAGATGAAGAAGAAGAATCTGAAAGCTATCACAAAGAACTACAGAAGAAACGAAAAAAGGCTGATTCATCTTCAGATCAGCCAATAAAGAAGGTAAGCATCTTTTATGTTTCTTTTCCCACTCAAACTATTAATTTTTTTTTCAGTGCTTATTACTGTGATTATTTGCAATTGTTGGAAGATATATTTGAATATGCTTAGGAGATCCTATAAGTTATTACATCTTCAGAAAATGTGTATAATTTCTGCTTGTTTGATTGGATATATAAATGCGCATGCATGATGGGTGAGGGTATTTGCTTGTGGATGAGTGTTTTAATGTTTATGACTCCATTAGTAAAAAAGTATTAATCAGATTTTCATTGAGGGATTTTTGCATGTGGGGAAGAAGAGGTTGTTGCTTATTTATTGAATAAATTAAAGCGACAAAAAAATTGTGATTCTTTCTTAATGTTTTCATTCAATTTCTTGCACAAAACCGGTCTGTGAGTAAATTGACAAAAAGTTTTCTTTTGTGATCAGGAGACAATTTTATTGAAACTGACTTTTTGGAGCAATAGTATATAGAACACTGATTTAAATAAATTTTACCCGTTAATAGTGAAAGAAGTTGTTGAAAAAGGTTTCTTAAATTTGGAACAAATTATTATTTAGTAGTAAGTTTAATCATTAAAAATTGAAAATTCATACATTTTTGCTAAAATTGTCCCTTCAAGTAGCAATTAAATCCATGTAATAATTCTAAATAGAATTTCTATTAGAATGAATACCATTTTTGCGATGTATATTAGTACAGATTTGAAGTATAAATAACTATTTAGTATATTTAATTTTCATACATATGTTGTAATTGAATGCTGTTAGTCACAAATCAATTACCCTCTTAAATAGAATTGTTATTTACTAATGAATCTTGCAGGTAAAATTGGACGATTCGTCGGGTTTGCTACAAATTAATGCAAGAGATGAAATAAAGAAGGATTCAAAATTAATATTTCAACAAGAAGGGAGTTCTCATTTAAGTAATCATGAGGCATTTGTTAGATCTCTAATTTCTGAAATTCAGCTTATAACCAACCCTGTACTATATCATAGAGTTAAAAAACAATTATTTGACACAGTTCATAAAGCCCAAGAAGAGCAAATGGAATTAGATTCAAGTCATTGCTTATGTAAATGTGTTCGTTGTGATTCCTTCAAAAATGAAAAAGAAATCCCCAGTACAGATTCAGTACAGAGTTTGGAAAAGGCTGCAGTACATGTAAAAAGCACTTCTGAAACAGAGGTTGATATTTGTACCAGTCCCACACAAAAGGAATCAATATCTGCAATACAGTCAGAAGAAAATTTGAGAGATGATGATTTAGAAAATGGCAAGCAGACCAAAGAACTTTCAACGTCATTGCTGGAAGATAACAACCAAAATTTGGTTTCTGCTTCCCCCTCAAGTACATTATTAAATAGTCCTCCAAATTCACCAAAAGTTAGTGAAGGCAATTCTTTAAATTCAGTGGAAAATAAGAACAAAGAAACAACAATAGACAGTGATAGTGAATGTAACCCAGTGACCTCTCTAGAAGAAAATAACTCTGAACACAGTCCAGCAGAATCCCAGCTAAAAAATGACAACCACCCTAGTAAACCAACTGTTTCTGTGAACAGTGACAAAGAACCTAATTCTAAGAATTCACCCACACAAAATGACAATGAATCTAGTCCATTGAATTCCCCAGTGAAAAGCAATATTCATCATAGTCCATTAGATTCCCCTTGGGAAAGCAACTAAATAAAATTTATTGTCTTATATTCAACACTTGTGATGAATGTCAGCATGCATAATGCACCTCTTGTAATTATCATTTGGGTGAGTTGGTGTAGCTAAAAAAAAATACTGAGTGGTGTGTGTTCTTCCTGCATTGTGCCAAGAAAATGTGGATGGGCAAACAACTCCCCTACCTATTCAACAAATGACTCTATTTCTAGAAAGTATGATAGGAAAGTATGAATCACTAAAGTTATATTAATGAAACATATGTTTTGTTGTATTGTAGCTATAAAATGTTATAGTTAAGTCTTCTGTTGTTTTTTTGTATGAAAAGATTCTCATAATAAACAAAATTAAAAATTGGATTAGTTTGGAGTGTCACTTTCTTTATTGAATTATTTGCCAAACCTGACAAAGTTCTTGAAGGGTCTATTAATGTAAAGCAAATACTTAACATTTTTTCAAGTGTAATCAAAAAACATATTTTATTAATGCTTGTTGCAATGCAAAGAAACTATCAAATTTTGAAAATTTTACTATCATTAATTTTAATGATATAATAAACTGTTAAAACTACAAGAAATACACTTGACAAATACAGTTTTGAAAGTCCTGCTTGTTTCATATAATTTAATAATTTTTAACAAACTTAAGAAAATTAAGTAATCAATCTTTCTATTACTGCAATTCCATTTAGATTTTTTTTGAAGTTCCTTATCAGTATCTTTCTAAAGAGTTGTGTTTTAGTGTAAGTTCTACAATCCTTTAATATTAGCAAAGTACATATCTCTGGCTACATCTTCAAAATTTGCTCCATTTCAAAGATAAGGACTACAATATTCTAAAAAATTAAAGAAAAGTTACATTTAACTAATCAGAAATAAAATTAAAGTCCTTTTTCTGATTTGTTACAGCCTTCAGTATTCGATGGAGTAAGACTCGTTCTTTCTAAGCCCATAAAAAAGACATACAGTGATATAGCATCGTACTTCACTGCGTATCCTTTCTTTAGTTTAATATTATCATTAATATGAAATAAAATTTATGTAAGAACAAAGTAAATCCTTAACTGCATAAGATATGGAGGTGAATTGCTGAATTCTGCTGATATTCATCTAGCAACTCATGCTGTTCATTTAACCAATTCGTTAAGCCAGGTAAATTATATACATTTACATTGTATGTTCATTGTTCACAGAATATATATTGTTATGGAAAAAAATTTTACAATGTTTTATTGATTATGATAACATAACTTTCTACAGGACAAAGCATACCGCTGGCCAAGAACAGCTCGACACATCGAGATTGATTGGCTAATTGATTCTCTGAAATTACAAAAACTACAGAGAACACAACCATATGCAGTTACTGTTTGTCCATCAACAAATTAATGAATTCTTAAAGTTAAATTTTATTTTTAGGTAATACTTTATGTTCTGGAATTGCAAATTTGTCAGTCAAATTTTGTAGAATACAAATTAATTAAATGACTTGGTAAAATAGCTAGCTTTTAACACAAATTTGTTGTTAAATTTGTGCATATTTTAACAAATTTTATGTACATTTAATTTCATTTCGATGGATCGAATGTTTAATTAAATTATTGGTGGGGACTATGAGAACATTCCTGTGGCATGAAATATCTTTTTTTAGGTTTTGCAGACATTATACAAAAAGGAATTATAAATATATGTATAATTTGCTATTTATATGGTTGTAGTCATGAACAGATATGAATAAATTATTGAAAAAGAGTTAAAATGCGAAGTTCCTATTAGCTCATTTCAAGAAGTTCATAATGTTTTGTAAGCTACAATTTCCTTCTTATATAATAGATTGTGTAATAATTTATTATGTTAATACCTTTTTTTTTTCTTTTGTTATTGTATACTACATTTACAAGGGGGATCAAACTTAATTGTTTTAATACTCAAAATGAGAAATGGAGGAGTGAATAATGACAAAACTGTGAATTGGGCAAAGATACACATTGGGCATTCATAGATTTTTTACTTTCCCATGTACATACATATGGTAATATATGTAAGTAAAGAGAATGTTCTCTAATGCTGGGGCGAAAAGTGCCGTTTTTTTTTTGACTGAATCTCATTTTGTTGCTGCTGCTTAGCATCAAAGTGGATTTTTATTGCTCCTATATGGAGTAAATTACTTTCTGTTAATACATAGTGCAGTTAGCCTAAATTCCTTAGTACTGAAAGTGTTGTTTTTTCCTCGTCTTCTACTGTCCATGCACAACTCTTAGCCCCTAAAATATTCATCGGATTTTTTTTAAAAATGAATATTCCCTGCTCAATCTGTTTTGAGTGGAAACCCTGTGATTTTGAAAATAATTCATTAAATTACATGATGTCCCTGGAAAATTTTCTCAAAAATTACTCAATTTTTAAAAAAATTTTTTTTGTAAGAATAGAGTGAAATATACTTTTGGCATAGGTCCCAATTTCTATTGTTTACTCCAAATTTTGAATAAAATTCTAAAGTTTGAAAGTTTCTGGATCCTCACCAGAGACTGGAGTAGATTTTTTTATTCAAATTGTTCACCACAATTTGTTCTTTAATATTGTAAACAATTTTTAAAAATAGTAATAGTTTTGCCCAATTTTCAGTGAAATTTGAGTAATATTGAAAAAATATATTAAAAGCAAGATTTTCGACGACTTCAATTTTTTTTCTTTAAACTTCTGAAGGATTCACTGAACAACATTAACCTCATTTTGATGTATTCATTTGATTTTTTGAAAATTATACAAATGTATTTCGTAAGAATAGAAAATCTTGTAATCATGCGTCGGAAAACGTCGAATTTTTGACAGAAAAAATGTTATTGCCGGGTCCTGGTAACGAAAAAGTGGATAAATCCATTTGATAAATGTAGGGGAGAATTTCTCTAAAACGTGGTTTAGCCAGAATCCATGTTTTGTGGGTTCTTGATACCGAATTGATTGCCGGTTAGACGTCTGTGGTCAACGCTAACGCCTAAATCGTTTAGCTGATTCCCTCCTCCTTCCTGAAATTGTGAGTCTTAAGACTCAATATTTCAAAAATTTTCTCGGTTTCTCAATAGGTCCAAATTTTTATTAAGCTTTGTCCTCGGATAGCGTCGAGAACGCTTGAGTACAAACAGATAGCGCACAACGGAGTCCCCAGAGGCGCACTCCTCCACCCCATGCCCCAGGAAGCTACCTGCGGAACAACAAAAAAAATCTGCAACAACACCAGACGACAAGCTGGAGCCCCTGCCTACATCTCGAATAGATTTATGTATTATAAAAATATACATATAATAATCATATAGAAGTAAGAATTTACACTAAGCCAGACGGCAACTGAAATGGTATATATTTGTGGGTTGTTGGTGTGTGTGTAATTATATAGTATAATATATATATATATAATATATATATATATATATATATATATATATATATATATATATATATATATGATATATATATATATATAAAATAATTAAGAAATAAATATTGTGGAAAAGAGAATGGTGCAGGTTTCATGTTCGTTAGAATCCCTATTTTTTTAAAATTGCAAAAGTGCAATTTTTTTTCTGTCTTACTGGTGTATTGAAGAAAATTTTTTACTGAATGATTTTTGTTCTTCAAAGACAGATCTTGAAATAAGGTAATGTACAATTTCTCAAAAATAGCTCAATTTTTTCTTTAAAGTTTCTCCTCATAAGTATTAAGGGACGGTAGAAAATATGGTGCTGATCCCATTTTTGACGAACTCTCCTTATTTTGGTAAATTGCTTACATTTAACATTTCAAAACTACAAATTTGATTATAAAGATTATTGCCTTGAACGAAGACTTTTCTAAAAAGACAGATCTTTAAAAAGGTCGTGGACAATTTTTTGAATAAGAGTAAATGTAAAATTTGTGACTGGAATTAATGTAATGTCAAAACAAAATCTCAAATACCGCGCCAAAGTTTTTATTAAATTTTCTCCCCGTATGTGACAGAAGGTAAATAGCATTGTGCTAGTCACATTGTAGACGAATTCTCCATAATTCCGAAAATTGCGTGTTGGAAATATTGGGTTGAGACAATTACATTTTTAAGCTTCGGCCCGAGTTCGAATCACACGGCGCTTCTGTAGTGTGGTGGTATGATTGACCGCAAGTAAACTCGGAGGATCTGATTCAGGACTCTGTGCAGAAAATAATTTATGCTGGTTGGAAATACTTTTGCATGTTAATGTAGTCAGCTGTCCCATGTTAGTAGATTTACTGCATTGAAAAGAGCCTCAAGCCTAAATGAGCTAAATTTGAATCGCCTGATTCGTCGCCCGAGTAATACCTCCTTTCTCCGCTAGTGGGCGAAAGGAGTGTATCGAAATTTGCCTGGTCAGACGGGAGAGGGGGGTCTGATGGCTCGAGTCTGGCCGCGTAGAATAAGGCATCAATTCAATTCAATAATACAGCGGAGTACTTAAAAATAATGCAGAGAGTAAATTATGTTGTAGCATCACTAGCTTAGATTTATCTCACGTCGTTAAAATGTTCTTTACAGATGTATTTAATTTTTAATGCGTTTGTTGCACAGTAGCTTGAAAGTTTTTTTCAAAAATCCTTTTATTTGAGGGGGGGTGTATGGAATCTAAAAAACTAACTTCCTCAGAAACCTCCAGTTTGCAAAACGGTCTAATTCTCTACGATATTCCAAAAGTCTGAATTCGGCTAAGATATCTGAGACCAGAAAAAATCAAAACTCGGCGGAACGGTTTAGACGAACGGATGTTTAGATGTTTTGTGGGCGGTAGCAAGGTCCCACAAACATGGATCCTGACTACACAATTTTCTATATGCTACATTAAATAGCATACACTTCCCACTTAAAGTCGTGGTAACTGGGTAATTCCTAGGCATTTTAGGATCCAATGGGTTCCCTAGACGTTCCCATGAGAAAATTGAAGTTTCTTTCCTGCATTGACTATCAGCAATGCTAAATTGCTCTATCGTAATTTACAATTTGTGTGGAAAGTTTAATAGAGCTTCTGAGAGCAATTAACGAGATAGTCAGTAGATCGCCTCAAGACGTGATCGCCAGGGTCTTGAGGGCACTGACTAAATCTTGGCATAGCCCCAGAGGTTCCAACCTCCATTGGCAGGATTCTGGCGTTGGGTACTCCATGAAGTTGGGCTGCCAGGGGGATGACTGGTTGGTATTACCACCTTTTCCTCCCCTTATTTCAGAAGGATAGACCCATCTTCCTGGCGGACAGTCACATCGACCAAGTGGACCCCTTCCCGCCTTTTTATCACCAGGTCAGGTTTGAGTCTAACCCCTTCGGCAACGGAGAAAGTGGCTTCCGTGGACACTACCGTGTCCGATTTAGAGGAAGTTATTTATTATGAAGGTACTAGTTGAATGTGGCGTCGCCGACGCTGTAAACTGTTTTAAAAGTATTTTCAAGTGTTGAAAATTTCTTTCATGCGGAACTTTATTTCAAATGTTCTTACAGAATCTGGCTTTGGACCTACCAATGAATCATAGTAGTTGATAGTGTTATACACCCCTTTAAAAATTCTCAACACCCAATAACCTTGTAGTCCATACTTCCATACGGGATATGAAGTGGTAAATTTGCAATCTCAAAATTATAATCGACGCAAAAAATACAAGTATTGAGTTTAATACTACATTTTTAACGATTTTTGCTAATATGTACAAAGATGATCTGTAAGCTGTTCTGGGTTATTCTATAATCTTAATAGACGATCATTTTGAATTAGTTCCGAAAATTCTATTGCAACATCTTTTGCAAGAACATTTTATTCCTACCCGGATTTGCTTAACACTTTCACAATTTTCTCCTCTAATTTTTGAAGATATTGAAACTCCACAAATTCAGTCTAATTTATGTACACTTCTACTTCTGCAATTGATATATATTCCGGAAGGACACATAAACCTATATGCTAACACGTTATGTGCCCTTCTGCCGGAACAGGCCTCAACTGCTCTATTAATCGTTTTGTATGCGACTCATAAAATATTAAATGGGTGTCTGTTTTGTACGTTTATATGAATAAGGTGTTTAGTAAATGTAAAGTTTAATAAGATTAAGTTCTGGGGCGCGTTCATTTTAAAATCGGTATTTGTACACTTTTCACGTAAAGTTTGAGAAGGCAGACGTAAGAATGTTCATTATTTCGTACACATTACTCACAGTTTTCTTTTCTTCGTATTCACTTGAATTTCTTCAAATTTAATAAATTCCAAGGCAATACTGTTCGTAGTTTTTGCAAATTTATGTTCAAAAATCTAATAGGCCTACTGATAAAAATTAAAATGAAAATGTCGCGCGATTCACTGGCTCAAATTAACTTCATTTAAAGATGACAACAGTGTTGCTAAAGTCGTGAAAGAAACTTTTTGCGTATTGAGCGAAAAAAGCTTTTGACGGGAATTAAATCCATTTAAAGATCTCAGCGTCAAAACACTCCTTTGGAAATTTTTTTGAATCTTCTGACCAGATCCGAAAACAAATTATGAGTTCCCCATCAGGAGACCGAGACACCGCGTCGAATGACACCTCATACGTCTCGATTGGTGCACGGAAAGTGGTCTAGCCGTGAGTGACGGAACCATACATATGAACATATGTACACTCGTAGTTTTACTCAGTTACTGTATGGGGATAGAAACAAGATTTGTCCACGTTTTCGTTACCAGGGCCCGAAAATAAAAGTTCGTACCGAAAATTCGCTGTTTTCCGACGTACAATTACAATACTTTGCCATCTTGCTTACGTAAGGGCAGACTTTAAAATTAAAATTTTGTTAAAGCTTCTGAATTGTTGAAAATTGGTAAAGAAACTTTCTGCTTCTTCCGACAAATACATCATTGAAGTTACAGATATTTTTCCTTAATGAAATCTGTAATTCACAGGTATATCTTGAAATAGACTTGTTTCTAATTTTCAGAGAAAACTAGTATAGTTTTCGCGTAATTCTGCGTGAATTGAGGCAATTTTTAAACTATTTTCTCAAAAAGGACTAAGATTTTTAATTCCCCCCTCCTATTTAGCAAAGAACGTAAAGAAAATTGTAGTGGTCCCATTTTAGCGGACCTCGCTGTATTTTCGAAAATGGCAGAAAAGTAATATTGCAAATCTCGAAACTGAGATAGAGATTTTTTACTAAATAAAATCTGTCCTTGAAAATTAGAAATAAACAGTGTTGGATTGACGAATTTGTGTCGATGTATTAGCTCTAAAAGAATTAGTTTGTTGTGCGGAGAAGTTAATTTGAAGTTACATTTATGTCCAGAAGCAAAACAAGGGGCCATCTCAGCATTTGCTCGAGGATCAGGGAAATTGGACGAAAACGTGATCAAGATGTGGTCATTGACCCAGAAGCTGACGTACAATACTTGTTACACGTTCTTTAGAATTATAAAATCCAATTGATATAAAACATTAAACGTCATTGTTAATATTAATATTACTTTCCTTTTGGATGTTCGGTATAGTCTCTAATTGTATAGAAACAGTTGTGCAGCAGAAAAGATTTTACTTGCGACTTAAACTTTTATATCGAATTTAATCGTTTAATGTCATGTATATTTACGAATGTGTAATATTTGTCAAAATTAACTTACTTAACGGTGGAAACATATTTTCATGCAATACTGATATTTATAATTACAACACACGTCGTAAAAATCACGTTCATCAAATGTCAGTATCAACAGCTCACTATCAGAAATCCACGTACAATACATGTACGTTACTTTACAACGCACTGCCAGATGATATTAGACAATTGAAGTCGTTCACAAATTTAAGTTAAAAGTAAAATATTTTCTGATGCATAACTGTTTCTATACAATTAGAGACTACATTAATTATCGAAAAGAAAAATAATGTTTATTTTATCAAAACAGTGATATATAACGAATTAGTGTACATTTGTATTGTATAATTTTTTAAAAGACTTAATATATTTGTAACAAATAATGTACTTCAGCTTCCGGCTCAATGATTATGATTTTGATGGAAGTCGAACTTTGTGGAGAAAGGTAAATATGGCATAACGAAACTTTGCAACGCACTTCCTACTACAAAACATGGAGGAGGTTCTGTGATTTGGGTGGGGGGGGGGGCGTGGGTGCATGTCGTCTAACGGGTTTGGAAATATGCAGATCGTCGATAGAAACATGAACAATTGGGGATACTTAGATATCTCGAAGAAAAATGTTAAGCAGAGTGCAGAGAAAATGCAATTAGAGCCAAGACACAGGTTTCAGCAATATAATGACCCAAGTACACTGCTGATATCTGCAAACAGTGGCTTATATGGAACGAGCGCAAGCAATTTCGAACTCCTCGTCAATCCCCTGACCTCAACCCGATCGAACATGTCTGGGTTGATTTGAAGAAAAGGGAGCATTCAAGAAAATCTCCGTCACTGAAACAATAAAAACGTGTTTAAGTTGGAGAATGGAGAAAACTGATGATGTAAGGTGTCAAAAACTTCAATGCAGAGTCGATGGAAAATAGTTTTCAAAGCTAAAGGCTATGCATCTGGGTATTAAATATTTTTTCTTCTGAATTCTTAAATATATTCATTTATTTTTCGATAGTGTACAAACAAAACTGTTGCATGGTAATAGCCACAATTTATTTGTAGTTTTTGTTTCCTCAGTCTTGTAAAAAGGAGACAAAATAAACATTCGACAAATGTATAATAGAGTGTAAATATTTAATTTTTAGTTACAAAAAGTAAGTTTACAAACGAGATTGTTACACATTGGATGTGACGCAGTCGCGCTCAAAGAGCATTAACAGCCTTCGGTATGGAACGTGTGGCGACACCACGCTGTACGACGAGAGTAAGTTATGGCTGCCTGGCGACAGACAGTGATTGTGGAGATGGCCTTGTTGTTACACTTTGATTAAAACATGAAGCCTTTCCAAGATCACGAGCTGGCACGGTAACACTGACATCTAATCGCGAGCTTCATTACGACTTAAATTTTTGGTATTGAAACATTCGATTGAATGGCAGTATACTGTGTCTTTTAAGCTCGTTTGCCTTGAAATGAGTTACAGTGTTAAATTAAGTTTAATTGAAGTGTAACGAATGCACTGTGGAAGGATATTACTAGGCGGTTCAGGTGAAGGTAAACCTAGCTTAAGAGTCACTGACCTATTTTTCATAAAAATATAGATCCGCTATTTTCTCTTACTATGTAATCGGTTTTATTTCCATTTAGTTCTTATCAAAATACCTCCAAATTACGATTTTATTATCACATAAAACTGGAGTTACCAATAGTCAGGTGAATCAATTAGTTTCGAGAACTGAACTTTAATGCGGCAGTGAACGAAAACATGCAGGCACTACAACTCTGAGGAAGACCACGATAAAGATTGCACGACGCGACGTCACCCTGACAGCCAAGATCATTCTCATGCATGTGGACATATAGTTTTAAGAGTTTTATTGTTTGAAAATTTCATGCGATGTTCAAAGAATACACGGTGGCATAAATTTGCGTTTATAACGAATACTGCGAAAGCATTCAGTTAGTGTCCTGAGGAGGGGTGTCGGAGCCGTCGTGCCCGTACTCCACGGCAGCAACGCTCCCAGCAACGACGATGTTCAAGTCGCGGTTGTCCTCATCCGAGGCGGACGAGCCGGAGGTGGAGGAGGGCGAGGACGGAGCGGAGGACAAGGCATCGGGGTCGATGTCGCCGTCCGAGTCCGAGTCCTCGTCTTCGTCGTCCACCCCGAAGGGCGCGTCGCCCCACGCCCCGCCCCGCCGCCATTGCTCGGGGGACACGCCTTGGGTCCCGTGCGGCAGCAGCCACGTACCCGGCGGCGAGCCGGGCCTCCACTTGCCGCGGTCCCCGTTGCGCTCCAGGTAGGTCGGGATCACGTCGCAGCCGCCGGCGCAGTGCAGGCCTTCCGAAGGGTGTGAGTCGGGGGCGGGCGGGGCGAGGGCGCCGGGCGCTCGGTCGTGCATGGGGAGTCGGTCGTCGCTGGCGGTGGCATTGAAATGTCTGTGGTGGCGCAGTAGGAAATACGTGAGCAGGAAAAGGACGGCGAGGACCACAAATTGCTCGGGGGCGCTGAAACAAAAAGAGGCATTTAGTGAATGGGGTTCTGGGTGTAATGCCCGGGCCATTTGCAATTTCTTAAAAGATTTGTTTATTTGTGCTGAATTTGAAATTTAGTTTCGTTGATTAATACTCATTTATAACGCATTTGATTGACATATTCACTGTCTTTCGTGACAATCGAGCCCTCGCCTATAGAGTGCGCCGTTGTATATAATTTTAAATAGAATAACAAAGAATCACGTTTCTTCGAAATAATCATGGGAGAAAGAAATGGGTAAGACTCCGGCGCACAGATGTTTGCTCGTTTTTCGCAGAACCAGTTTGCAACATGAACCATGTGTGAACACAAGCACTTTGTTTGGAAAGCTAGGCCGTTGTTGCATGGATTGCGACAAGTGTTGGGAAACATTTTGAGTGGCATAAACTAACAATTCTCAACGGTACCCGTTGAAACTGTGAAGGTGCACAAGATGCAATATTTTTTTAAATGCTTCATATATCTGTTACCATGTCTTGTAACAAAATGATAGTTTTGGTATCTGGCTGCATTTAAAATTCCCGCGAATATTGCAACGCAAACTGATGCCGGAATCTCATTGGCTGAAGCGAGATACGATGCGGAATAGATCACCCACATCTTTCCACCGTGGAAACAATGTCGGGAATTATAACATTGCTTCATTGAAAACTCTTTGAAACATTCCCCTTCAGCTTGTTGTTCCTCTTTAGTTTATTAAAAATTTGAAGAAAGGCTCTTTGGGATGTAAAAATGTAATAAACATATCAACCGTTTTATAAACGCAATATGTCTTTGTATATACTTTGTCATCGCTCGAAAGAGAGAAAATGCCGGGTCTGGTTTGAAACCAGGAAGCCCAAGTTCCCAAAAAACAGTTAAGACCAATTTTTAGATGGCTAAACAAGTTAAAATTGATTTAAATATTTATGTTAAAGGCGGTGACGGAGGTAAAGGAGGTGGTGGGAATGGTGACAATTATATATGAACAAGTTACGTTCTCGTATTCAGGCATTAAACATAACACAACTTGGAGATCGCTTAATTAAATTTTTTCAAAGAGTTGGTTGCCCCGACCGGGATTCGAACCCAGGCCCTCTGGTTTACGTCAAGCTGCACTAACCACTACCGAGAGAACAAGAGTGGAATATATTCTCCCACCGTAATTGCGCCCAACATGGTGACAAATTATATATATATATAACTTGGTTTCCTTTTTTTAAGCGAGAGATATTTTAAAGTGTGAAAAC